GGTTTATGCTGGGATTTTCCAGATCCTGCTACCGGCCCCGGGTTGGCCTGGCAGCCCGCTGCCTGCCCTGCGAGCTGCGGCCGCACCGTGTTTGCAGCCTAGGGCAGGAGGTTCTTGTCCCGTTCGGGAACCGCACTCTTGCGCTGGGGCATGGGACGCTCATGCCATGCCAAGATGCTGCCGTGCGCCTTCGCTTCGGTTTTCTCCGGCTGAGGCTCTGCCTGCCAGCCTCAGGGCTGTATTTCCATCCAAGTTTGACCAACCTGATGTCTCATTTCACAGGGGAAGAAACATTTCTGGTGTAACCTGTTTCCTCTGCACCAAGGAGGTGGCACAGAAAGACAGCACCTATGCGGGAAGCTCCCCGCCACGCTAAGGAGCTGCAGGGCTGCAGGGGATGCACAGCCGAGCAAGGGCTGCCCGACCCTGCCCTCCACTCCTGCTCCCCCACGATGCCTTTCCTGCAACCAAGCCGATTCCAGCCATGCAGTTTGTCAGCCAAGTATAATCCCCTGGCAGGAGAAGAGAGACAGACCCGTCCTTAAAAATGTCAGGATGCAGCTTAGTACGCATTCCCTAGTCGTAATCAAATACACCTTTTTTCTTGTAATCTTACCATGGACTTAGGTTTTCAAGGGAAAGAAGTTACCAGGGCAATGCCATTCGGGTCACGGAAGGTGTGCCTGAGAAGAGCACGTACTTCAGTACCTCTGTTTCCTCACAATGCTATTTTTCAGCTAATGCACGCCCAGCCCCAAAAACATACAAAAAGAGAAGTATAAATCCATTGGGAGTGAGTAAGAATGCAGAGACTGTTTCGCTCTTTTTTTTTCTATAGCAGTATCTTTGCGGTCTTTCCAGAATGCATGGCTCTTTTCCTCAGAGGGAAGATGTGTTGCTCTCCATATTTCACACCCTTTCTCCAACAGATGGCATAGATTCTCACCTGTTTAGAAAGAGATGTTTGAAATAGTTTTGCATCTTAAAAATAGATCCTATCTATCAAAGGGATTAGGGATTCCAGCTCACAGGTTGGTTTTTTTCAAACACTCGTCCCCTATTGTTCCTCATTATTGGTGTTACATGTTAACCCCTGTTCAGCTCAGGCTGTAACATTTGGAACTACTGTGGGTCAGCCTGCCAGACAGGATGGACAAGCTGATTTGTCACTCCTACGAATAGTAGGCACGGTACAGGTGCTTGGATATGTTGATATGACTGCCTACCCATACATGTGGATACATATGTCACGTAACAACAGAAAATAAACATTGCGTTTGCATCTAGAGATCAGCCAGCATTGAATCTAGGATTCAAACATCATTGAAGTCCAGATGTAGAACCAAACGCTACAGGTAATTCCTCTTTCTATAAAGGACTATGCTGAAATCTGAATCCTGGGGTTGAGAGCAGCCTGGCTATTTTCTTGCTTCTGTTTTCTCTGAAGACCATCATGACTGTAAAAAGAAGGGGGATTGAATTCTGCTCTGAATACACAGCTGTAGCAAACTCCTCCTGTGATTTTCATTCCATGAATTCCTTCAGGTTTCTCTTCAAGAATATACTCTTGTGTGATATACAGCCAGTGAACAGCTCTATTGTTGCTGCCCAAGCCCAGAAACTTTCAGCTCTCCGTTGCCAGATCCATGAGTGGTTTGCAGCCAAACGGGGACAGGATTCAGCACTGAGGAGGAGTTAGAGGATCAGTAAATACTAGGCATGGCTGGTCTTGAGTAAAAGGAGAAGAATGAGGGCTAAAGCTGGAATTAATGCAGACTTTTGCAGATCTGTGTGGACCACCACACACTCTACTGGACAAATCCTAGAGGGAGAAAAACCATGTAGAGTCTTTTCTTCTCTCTCGGCTGTAGCAGTGGAGAACAATAACACTATGGAGAGCAACGCAATCATGGTGTCATAACAGAGAAAAGAACCAGCTCACAGACTTTTTATGATTTTGGTTTTAGAAGAGAATTTATCTTACCATTAGAGTGCAGAGACTCTCATTTAATGTAATCATGGAAGAACTCTGACTGGACAAGCCAGGCTCCAATAAACAATTCTATTCCTTTCTCATTTCATTCTTCATCAATAGTGTTAGGAAAAAACACATGCTGACTTTCTGCAAGTTTGCCCTTCTCCAAAACTGTCACCTAATTTCCTCTAACCCGTTCTGCCAGCGGGGGAGTACCACATGTTCACTGGCACGTGTTCCTCCCAGCAAAGGAATGAAACACATATTATTTTTCACATTTAATTCAGAATTTTTTTTGCTGTTGTTGCCATGCAGTTTGTCAGCCAAGCATAATCTCCTGGCAGGAGGAGACAGAGAAGCAAGAGAAAGAGAAGCCATATACTTTGGTTGTAGACCTTAAACTCTTTGATTCAAGCAACATCACCTGGTCCCATTGCCAGTGAAAACAAGACAAATGCAAAAACATAACACATTAAGTCTTTCTGCCCAGGAAAGCAAAAAATAAATTATGCGGAATGACCTCCAACCCTAATTGCCCTTTTCGCAGCAATTTTCAGATTTAAAAGTAGGTGGAAGCTACTGAATGCTAAGAAACTCTTAAGAAGATTTCACAGCATCAGAGAATCAGAGCTGAAATCAGACTTGTTAGCTTACAATTGCCATAGCTCTGCAATAGGCCAGGCAGAACACGGCTTCACGGTCTGAGTCCTTCTTGGTGAAAGTACTGAATTCTTCCATCAGACCCCCAGCTTTCACATCCAACTGGGCACTGTAATAATCTGGAGGTCCTACAAATTCCAGAGTGTCATAGATGACTTATCCAGGAGTCATTACTGATGAGAGACATTCCCCTGTCCCTCCTCCCCAATTTTTTCTAGGGATCATCTCTAGTCTTTAGCCACAACTGAACAGAGAATGATTTAGTGAAAGAGCGGTGACTGAGGACCATGAGAGGAGACCAAAGTCTCTTCACTGGACAACATGTGGGAGAATCTTACACTTTGATGTCAAACAGTCCAGTCAAGAAAAGCCTCGGCTAAGTGTGAGACCTAGACATTATTCTTCACCCTGAAGAGCTACAGAGGAGTTGTTTTGCCACAGAATTATCTGAACTGATGGAAACCAGAAGTTTTCCTGAGGTTTTCATAGGTCTTTGAAATAATCCACATAGAAAAATGTTTTTAAAAGTATGTTGCAGGTTTTCATCTACTCAGAATACAAGATGGGAGAGAACTCTCCTGTACATTTCATTGTAATGGTTCATGTACAACAATAGCAGCAGTGGATGTATTAAGGAAAAAAATCTTGTTATGTCATAATTGAACTTTGTGCTAATTCTGCTTTTCAGTGTGTCTGAAGAGTCCCAAGCGGGAGTCATGTGCAAACAGACAAGGGCAGCAGAGAGTCCCTGGAGCATGACACAGACAAAGCAACAAGGAACCTAAATAATGTCAGACATGGGTATGTAGGTTAAAAAAACAAACCATTGTTTATTTAAATGTGTAAAGTACTTGGGAGGCAAAAAGATTACATTGTACTATGGCAATATAGACAGCACATACCGTAACAAGCTCATCCATCGTAATGAATTCAGGCTACTCTTTCCAGCCTCTTAATCCGCTCAGTCACACAGATCTTTGGGAGAGGCTCGCCGTCGATATCTCTAGGGGACTCCACACTACAGATTAATGTCAGTCAGAATTTGCTGTCCTGTTTCTGTATGTCAGACTCAAAAAAAAAACCAGGGGAGACAGGCGAAATATGGCAAAACTTCTCATGCGCTAAGACCCTCTGTCATGGGTTAAGTAAAAGTAGCCTGATGGAACATCTGATCCTAGGACAAATTACCAGGCTGTCTGCCTTAACCTTATCCCAGACGTGGCTCATCACTGGGGTGAGAAGCCTAAAGCAGGAGAGACTGAGAGAGATATTATGATAGTTATAAAATGCCATTTCCAAACACAGCTTTTTATTTCAGGTTCTTCTCAATCCAGTCTTTGAAGGGAAGGGCTTTGGTGTAGCCACTGTAGAGTTCTAGGCTGCAAGTTTTATCATAACCCCAGCTCACTAATCCCATCAGGTGCCACCTTAGCTCAGGGGATGCTTTTCCTGGCAAAGTTATGGCTGCAATCCCACCAGTCTCAGCAGGGCAGATATTAGAAAAGGCTGTGTGGTCTTGTTTGGCACAGAACATGCTGTCAGTGATGCTGACTTGTATCCCATTATCCTCATACTGTTGCTCACACAACAGTGAATCCACCATCCGAACAGCTCCCATGCGGATTGTGTCATTCTTGTATCCAGGATCTTTTATGTCAGCCAATACCTTCCAGCCAGTAACCATTATTTTTAAATCCTCTGCGGATGGAGTCAAGTCATGAGAAGATGACAGGCAAATGGGTTGAACACGACTGCTGATTCTGGCTTTGTCCAAGAGTTTTATGATAGCTATATCGGAATCAAGTAATATAGGGTCATAATTGGGATGCACTATGATGGCAGAAATCTGGGGAGGAAGCAGAGTAGGAAGAATTGTAGAGATAACAGCAATGGCAAGTCAGCAGCACTCTTT